TAAATGTATCTTATGGTGTCTCAGTACTCCCTCCCTCCATAGTTCCCTTTGTGGTGGGGTCAGCAGGCCAGCTACAAGACTTTGTTTCCCAAAGTTTGGCCTGGGTCACATCTGGTCTTGGAGGCTCTTGACCTCAGATTCTAGCCCCAGTCTTTTATTCTCAGACATGTAGAGAGAAGAAGTCTTCCCTTGGCAGTCTATAATTAAGGTCTAGTGTAAGTCATAACGTATAGTATGAGTCATAGGTCTAGAACAGAGTTGTTATCTTCCAGGGCTCTAGAGGTAAAAGTTGGTGACTCTCTGAAATCAGACTTGAGCGCTGAGCCAGGCTGTCACCTTCAGGACCCCATGCTATTCGTGTTACTCACTGCTGCTTTGCAGACCAAGAGCGTTCTTCAGAGTGGTGATCAGGGGGTATTTGCCCTCCTTGCAGAAAGAGCCTGTGAAATCATCCAGATCAATGGCCCAAACCATAGCACCTCCATATTTGTTTTTGGTCAGCCAGTCAGCCTACTCAGGATCAGAGAAGAAGCCCCAGTCAGTCCCAAGATGTGCTGCAGGAGAAGTCCTACCACAGCATAATTGGGACATCTCCATTTCCCCCTGTACCTTRATGTTGAAGCTCTTGATGTTGTCATAGCCAACCCATGTGCTGCCCTTGTAGGCATAGGGCACGTCCTGGGGGGCATCCCAAACTTGGGTGGCTCCAGATTTCAGCAGAGTGCAGATCTAAGGAAAAAGCCAGAGATGTTTTGGTTTGTTTTGCTTTTAATCAAGTGCCTTGCAAAGGCAAGCAAGTCCAACTCTGCTGTTTTCTTGACTTTATTTTTCATTGTGTTTATAAATCTCATCTCTGAGGAGAGGTAGCCTTCTCCTAACTTTTGCAAAATGAGCTTAACAGGTTTCAAGGATCGCATGAAAAAATAAATACCAAGTATAACATGCCTCTCCTCTCTGCACTGTGGTCATAATAGATAATATTCTGTCTTTTCGCTTATTTTTACATCTTAGTCCTGAAGAAATCATATTTAAATTTTAGGAGGGCCTTTTAATCTGTTTCCAGCCCTTGCTGCTAAGATTGTTTAGTGATTTCTGATTCTGTGATTTCAGTTGATGTTTATACATATATGTATAAACACAGTCATGTGTATACGTATAGGCACTGACTCTTTGCCAGTGTAATGGGCTTCCCTTTGGGTTTCTAACAATACTGTGTGTGAGTTAGCCATTCAGAATGTCCATGGATTCCTTCCAAAAAGTCCTAGAGCAATAAATGTGTTGTGACGTGCATACCTCATAGTAAGCCAGCGTGCCAGCCTCTTGCGTGTAAGGTCCAGCAGGCCCAGGTCCTGATGTCGGTGCGCCGAGAGCAGTGTCAGAGGGGTTTTGGAGGTTGAAGTTGTGTCCATAGGTTGGGAATCCAACAAGGAGCTTCTCGGCTGGGGCACCGTTGCTCTTCCAATAGTTCATAGTATAATCCTGTTAAAAAACATCTCAGTTCAACTCTGTTATAGGATTTATGGGAAG